TAATTCACTAGATCTGAGAGAAGAAGAAGAAAAAACCCCTCCCTACACAGATGCTAAAGAATTAGCAGTGTGTGCAGGAAAAGTTGTATCTGCTGAGGGCAAAGAAGTGTTTGTGTGGGGCAGGATATGCCAGATGTCTTGAAAATCCTCAACCTGAATTGTGGAAGTAGCACCCCCAAGAACGCTATTTTGCAAGATGTACAGTTCAAATCTTAATAATCATACTGAGAGAAGTCCTAGATCTGAGATGCATCCAGCATTGCACTGTCCAGGGACAGACTCTGAGAAAGGCACTGCTAAAGCCCATTTGCAGTGAGCTGCTCAAAATTGGCTAATGCATCACAGATACTTACAAAAACTGGGTGTCAATACATGCAAACTGAGAGAGACTCTTTTGTATTATACTATAAATTTTAAGTCACTTATTTCTGGGAATCCAATGCCCACTAGAACTCACCATAAATGGTGTATTAGCAATGCGAAAGGGCTCGACAAGCCCTCCCTTCCTCCCAAGAGCACAGAATATTTCTGTGCCTGGCACCAGCGCTCAGGCTGGTAGGACCTGGCCCCACAGCAATTCCCAGTCACTGCTGGGGAAGATTGACCACAGCTCTCGTGTATCTCCTCTTCCATCTCCTTGGTGTATTTTTATTTTGAGGAGAGGAGACGGAGAGGAAGCGCAGACCGTGCTTTGCACTGTAGAAATTCTCCCCTGGGAACACGCAACCAGACTTCAGCAGTTCTGCCGTAGCTGAGCAAAATCATTTTGAACAACCTGCTTATGGGAAGGGGTCTAGATTAATCATGTTATGCTTTTGTCCAGCCTAGCCCAAAGGTAGACTTTCCCACTCTCTAGCTGGCCAAAATAGCCACATAAAAATCTGTTGTCAAAATTCTGCCCATGTAGGTGCCAATTTCCTGTTTAAGCACTTCAAACTCATATTTGTCCCTTCCTGTGTAATTAGAGCATATTTCTATCTTTTAACATATAGCACTTTACAAGTGTGTAAACATATTTCGTTCCCTAACACAGTATATTATTTCAGGCAAGGCTAAAACAGTGATTTCAAAGTCAAACATTCCTTTAGCTTAAATGTTAAAGTTCACAGTGTGTTATAAGCTTGGTAAATCAAATTTGCTTTTCACAGCATTCCTCTGAACTATAAAAATATTTATTGTGCTATTCCTTTCCATCAAAAATACTTGTGTTTGATTTTGTGACATAATTTGCTTTAAAGAACTCTAAAAGTATTCTCAGCAAAAATAAAAAGTTCTCTGGCTTTCATTTAATGAAAATTGTATTTTTAAGAGCCAAAAGAAAAAGTCTCTGAAGTTGATACACTACTTACATTTCCTCAGATGAGTAAGTCTTAACATTGAAAAGCTTCTAAAGGGCTTCTATAACTGTGACCAGTTAAAATTTTGTATGCTTTTCCCGAGTCATCAAAATATAGAAAAAAAAAATTCTTTCCCACTGTCCTTTCTTTGAGCAGACTACAAGTAATAGGATTAGATTATTAATGCAATTTCCATGGAATACATTTATTCTTTTTGTCATTTTTTTTAACTTCTTAGCCTAAGAGATAATATTTAATGCAACGTACTTCACTTAAATTAGTTATCTTGCCTGATATATTCTTGTTATATTTAGCAACTTTGTGTTTTGAGTAGAGTGTTAGACTGGGAAGCAAGGGAGCTGAAGTGCTCTGCTGCCCTACTGAAGTCAATCAAAATTTTAGCATTTCCTTCAACAGAATCAGAAATTCAGCCTCAGATCTGCTTCATACGTCTGCCCACTGGCCTGTGTGACATTTGGATATTATGGACAAAGGAGATTATTGCCCTTTAGGGAGAATGACTTGCCCTGAAGAGTCCAGTGCTTAAAAACGTTATTTGCAATTTGGTATACCAAGGGTTTTGTCCTGTCTTAAGCACTAAGCAATGGAGTAAGCCTCCTTTTTTTCACTCAAACTGTAAAACTGTCATTGAAGACCGTGATTAAAAATGAATTTGATCACAGCAACACAGGCTGAGAGTACAGCTTCCCAAACAGGTTACCACAGCAGAAAGTGCGCTGCCGAGGTACAGTGTGTCTGTCAGCTATTATACAGTGAGAGTTTGCCCGCATGCTCCAATCTGGAGCAAATCTGAGGTTAGTCTGAGGTAGCCTAGCTGTCAACAAAAAGGGCTTGCTTGTTCATCTGCCCAAACAAGGTCTATAAGGTGCTGCTGAAGACAGCACTGACGATGCCAAAGAACCTTCTCTGACAGGGATTTGAGTCCAAATCCTGTATCTGCCAGGTGAGCGCAGAACAGCGCAGAAATTCCTAGTAAATTTGACCTTTCCCACCGACCGTAAATTCAATTTTGGACAGGGAGAACAATTTCTTTCGTTGAAACTTATAAAGACTCCATGAAAGTGTTGCTGAATTACACTTTTCCAATGGAAAAAAGCATTTGTCAAAAAATTCACAAGCAGCTCTAGTCTTGATCTCAGTAAATGCCTCTAAGTGTTACTGTCAAACAGAGATAAGTAACAAAATGTAGCTGAAGGCAGGTGGGAAGCGCTTTTATGCATTTTTTAACACAAAACAATAGAAGGCCAGCAATGTTGTGGTATGTATCTATGTATAGCTTAAACACCATTAAGTTAAGCAAAATTAAAAATAGCAATAATAAAAATGAGAGCTAGTTCCCAAAGATTGCGTGGCTCCTCCTGCAGTCATGAATTCCAACAAAAAGCTTCTTTCCCTAGGTCCAGATCTATAGTGCCTAGGTGGGTGTCCTGCTGGGAGCTGTTAGTAAAATGATGGTTCTCACTGGGAGACCATTCACAGTTATTAAAATATAGTAGAGTCTCACAAATCCATGTACCATATAACTTCTGAGGAAAATAAAATCTCTTTCGAATTCTCTGCCATGGAAAATTCCTGCAGTAATGTCCCATGTTATCTTTTCACTATAACGTGTTTAGAAAATATATTGCTCTGCACGCAGTAGTGAATTATGAAGTGTTATAAATAAATGACACTAAAGTATAGCCTTTCAAATAAATTAAAAAGTCATTTAATATTGCATCTCCCTTGCTTTTGTAACTGTGATTACTCACTTGAAAAAAAAACAAAAATTTCCACCATGCAAGGTCCATATTAATATAGGTAAAGCCACTATGATTATGCGCTTCACCTTCTTCCTTTAACTTCACGTCTGCAGTAAGAATTAGAGAGTAGTCTGGTAGCTGCAATGCTGACAACATGACTTGGCTACAATTAGGAATGCGATTTCCTGTCTTGTGTTTACCTACTGCCTCTTGTCGTAAAACAGGACTTAAAACTTCAGGCAAGGGTGGTTGACTGAGTAAGTGCCTGCATTTGGAGCATGGGTTTGAGCTGTGGTGAAGCCTAGCTTGACCTAGCTGTGATTCCAGGTCTCTAGGAGCTTGCTAAAGCATGGCGGAGCAGGGCAGAGAGGCAGAGCTGAGTCTGTCCCGGACCAGCCATGCTGAAGGAGTATGCAAGGCAAGAGATATCTGACCTCATTGCCAGTGTTAGGAGGCGTCTTGGCAACACCATAGGACCCAAATAGGGCAGACGACCTGGGTCAGACGTACTAATGGGACCCTGCTGAGATCACAGGTCTAAGGCCACCTTCAGAAAGGAGGAGACTCATGGCAGCTGAGTTACAGCCATCCTGGGCCATGCGGCTGTGCTTTGGTCCTGGGCTTCCCTGCAAGCATGAAAAATCAGGACTACTCCAATGCTAATGTATGGCAATGGTCCTTCTTCACCTCCTCGCCTGCAATGTGGACAGGTCAATTAGCGTCCTAAGAAGTATGTGCAGTCCTTTCAAACTCTTAGTAATTTCTCATGACTCCTGAGGAAAGTCTCTGAGGGGCTGGACAGGAGTGAAAGTTTTCTTGATTAGCTCCCAGCAGTCTTAATTAGGAATGCACCCCTGATCTAGGAATCCGTCACTAGGATTAGGTTCAGAGTCTAAAGGAAAAGATGTGTTGTTCCCCTTATGAAGTGACCTGGAAGTTTGGTGTGATCAGAGAGAGGAGTATTTTCTGGAGATGTAATCACTGATCTGGTTACATTTTATTTGTGTTTGTAATTTACACATTACTAAACTGCAAGGTTGGAAATAAGCTAGAAATTTTCTTGACTTTTATTCATTTAAGCAAATAGGAAACTCATAGGTAAACAGCAAACTCCTAGCTAAACAATGGTGTATCTTCTGGAAGGATACAGACTCCAGAACAGACTTGTATCCAGACAGCGAAGTGAAGTTGGGCTTGAGCACAGGCTCAGGCCAATTTAAGCAAGGGAGACACCTGTTCTGCTCTCCCTTTCAAAGATTTTTTTTTTTCTTTGGTTAGGACAAATCTAGACAAAAGGCAAACACAGCTGTGTGCAGTTCTTAACCTCAGCTTCTTCACATGGTCTGAATAAGTCGTGCTCTTCCATGCAAGTGCTTTCTTGTCCCACTCTTGACTTGATTTTTTCTACCTTTTCTTTTACTGGGCTAGATGCATAACTGTTTCCCTCTCTACCAGTTCCTAATTCCCTTAGTCTCTCCACTCAAATCCTTCTTTTGTATCTATTTCCTTTTCTTTCTTTCTATTCTATTCCCAGTGTTCTCTCATTCTTATTTCTGTTTCCTCATTTTTTCTGTTGATCCCAATTATAAAATATACAGTATGATCACTTCCCCTGAAGGCAGACTGTCTTGAGTCTCACTGAAAACAAAATATGGGAAGTAGCGCTCATCATTATTGAATTTCATGCATGCAGCCTCTAGGAATATGATAGCCATTTTGATTTACAACAGTGTGGTTTTAGCCTTCCTGAAAGGCGTAATAGCTGATAGCCATTTTGAGTTAGCAGAAAATTTGCATGTTTATAACCAAGGTTTATGGGACATTTGCAATACCCCGTGTCACAGAAATAATGACAAGATCATGACAACTGCCAATGTCTGCTTTTTTATCTTTCTTTTAGGTTGGCCTCTGTCTGCATAATCATTCAGCTTGAAATGTTAATCTGGTTTATATTTTACTACCATATAAAAGTGTGCCTGGATCAGGGAAACCTGCAGTGCAATAACCACAATAGTGCGTGTTCCTAAATTAAGCATCCTTCCTTGCTGCTACACTGCAACTTCACCTGGGGACCTCTGCACTGGATAAATACATGACTGCACAAAAGAAGGTAAAACAGAGCATATGGCTTCATTGGGATTTAGTTCTAACACTTTCTAAGGAATTACTGTAGCATTTCTTTCAGAGAAAAAGAAGTTCTCTTCCTATCACACACACAAAGAAACTGCTGAGAGATTTGTGTAAGCTTATTGCAACTGTCTCCACATTATTGATCCTGTGGCTGTTCTGTAAGGCAATTGCAAACAATAAGTCATCATTGCGTGTTAGTCGCAAAAAAAAAGCAAGGGGAGGTGGGAGTGCAATCTGAATACAGATTCTGACCTGCTTTCTGTGTCTCTGAACATCGAGACAAATTTAAGCATCACCAGCCCAGACCTTGAGTCCTACATAGTGGAATAACTATACAAAAAAGCAGTTTACTGCCTCATCTTTAATTCTGCTGTGTCTAGCAAAGCCATTGCTTTACAGTGCTGAAGTATTAGAAATGCTGCTATTTGAAATGCCAGTAATGCTAAAAATATAGTACAGGACTATGCTACCACTACAATAACAAGTGGATGACATATCAAAGAGAAAGCTATTTTAACAAAGGTATGTATGGATAATGATAAATAGAAGTACAGAAGATACTCAAATTTAGACTGTAAGAGTTTTTCTTTTGCAAACTGTTAGTGTTTTGTGCACATTAACATGAAGCAAGCAATGGGGATGTCTAATATCTTTGCTTGAGCCATCAATGAAAATATTGAAGGATATTGATGCCTGTGTGAAAACAGATCTAAGTATCAGCAGTACTTAAAAACTTCCCAAAGAATCATTCATCGTTTTAACTGATGTTTCTTTTACACGACATAGCTAGAATAGTTAATACTATTAAACATGTTGCGTTAGATACTAAGTGATAAGCAAGTACAGGAATAAAGCACTAACCAAACCTACTCTTGAAAGAGAAGCATGTACGTGACCTCATCACAGCATTGAGTGTGCTGTTAAAAGCTGGATATAAGAATCAGAGACCGAATTTTACTGTAATTAGAACAGATTCACATGAAAATCATTAGAAACCCCAACTGAGTTAGAAGGGACTTGAAGAAGTTGCATCATCTCTCCTTCCACCTTGAGTTAAGAATTGAGAGATTTGTGTAACTTGTTCCTAAAGACATCCAGCGATGGAAACTCTGCAGCTTCCCCAGGCAATCTCTTCCAATGTTTCTCTGTCTTCGGTGATAACGAGAACAGAATTAAGTCAGAAGATATTTTCTGGGCACCCACACACAAAATGAAATATATTTAATGCAAGAAAGACTTTATATGGTAATACGTTTTAACAAATGTAAATGTTTCCAGTCTCTAGCTACTTCCTTCAGCATGAAATGCAGCCCTTTCAAGAACTCTTTGCCGTAGGAACTAATTAGCACTTTGAAATTTGAACTGCTTAAATGCATGATTATTTGTATTATTCACATTTTTGCTCCTCCACTACTCCTTTATGAAAGAAATTTTACTGTCATCACCAGCTGCCATGAAATAGGATTTACTGATTGTGTTTCTGGGTTCGCAGAGCTAAACCATTTCTTTAATTCATATAAAATAAACCATATTATTTGATATAAACTTTATTTGTTATTTAAATATCATTAGATTGTGTAAGAAAGAAGAAATCATTTCAAGGCATAATTTAGATAGCTTCTTAGAGTTATGAAGTGCTGTTGACGATACATTAAAGAAAGGTAATTAAAGGAATTGGTGAAGTAGTAGGTAACGAATGCTTAAATTCTTTATACAGTAAACTCATTTAGTGTTGTAATAAACTTTGTCCTTACAAACGAAATGCACCACCTGGCTCAAATTATGCTATATACGTACTATATACCTATACCCTGTATGCTTCTGCCTGTTACTTGAGCACCTTGGAGAGCCAGAGAACAAGGTTATATATGGAAGGAAAGCTGGTGGGAAGAGCTGAGAGGGGTCTCCTTTACCACGGTCTCCGTGGTGAGGTGAGTTCTGAGGGACCAGAACTGCGATGGGAGAGCGCTGAGCAAGTTGGTGAGTCGCTCTGGGTCAACTTTTAAGCAGCTCCTGTGCCTCGAGGGCCCCACTACACAAACAGCTTGAGAGCTTGGGACGGCAGGCGCGGAAGGTAAATGAATCCCTGCAGGGTCAGATGGATGGAAAGCCAGACAGCGGAGCTGCTGGCAGTAACAGTCTTTGAGAAGAGCAGAATAGCCAGAGAGAACTGGCTATTGATGTGTGCTTTTGGGGCAGCGTTTTCCTCCCCACTTTATGTGAGTGTGAGCTGACGGTTTTACCTCTTAAATAACATCACTGAACAGAAGTGCTGGATTGCTGAGGGTTCAGAGCTTATAGTTAAAATACTAGGTAGGTTCCCCAAGAGGATCCTAGAGCACATGCTGGTTCTGCTGATGGTGTTTAAAACCACACGGACAGCTTTATAAACAAGGCAGCCCTCTCGCCTGGGTGAGGTGGCGGTGCCTCCCTGGACGTAGGGGCAGTCTGAGCTTGCTGGGTCTCTCCGAGTGTAGGACAGCTCGACCGCAAGCAGCCCGAGCGCGAAGAGAAAAGGCCCTGCTGAGCCCTTTCTTCCACCCGTGACACCCTTCCCTGTCAGTGCTGGTGCCTCTGGGTAGCTGCAAGTGGGGCGTCCCCACGCGGGCCAGTCCACGGGGGCAGCCGGGACTGCAGCTTCAGGGGGAGGACGTGCAGCAAGGAGGAGACGAAGGCTGACTCTGCCTGTGGTCTGGCATGAAACCAGGAACTGCAGTGACATCGCAAGCTGCTCTTGGCAGTTATGGGTGGTACCAAGTGAAGCCACCATTGAAGGTGAGTGAATTTTGGAGCCTCTGTATGCGTTCTCGTCATCTGTTGCTGGTGAGTACACCTAAAAGGAAAAAGTAAAATGCAGAGTTTCACAGGTATTCAACAGGGCTAACAGAGCTGATGGACCTGTAACTTTCGTACCGTGTTAGCTGTGCAGTCTTTACGGTGGTATTAAAATAGGGTTTTGTATTGAATGCACTTTTTTTTTTTTCAGAAGAGACTGTGTATGTTTTGTACTAAGTGAAATTTGAAGTCTGCACTCACAGACAGAGTGGGTTTCCACCTTTTGCTGCTGTTGCTATTTGGAGGTCGCTTTCCGGGACCAGGTTATCAGTGCCACAGCCCAGAAGAACGTAGAAAACAGCTGGGTCTAGCTTGTGTGGAAGGAATTGCAAAGTTTCCATTCCTCTCCACTGTGGGGCTGCATTAAACCTTCCTTAATAAAAAAAAAAAAAAAAAAAAAAAAAGATTTTTAGAACATAGTGACCATCAGCAGCCCTGACATGCTCAAGGATTTCTCTAACCTCTCTTTTCTTTTAATGCCTGTGAGGGCATGCTCTCTTGGGCAAGAAAAATCCCTGCTTAACTCTGAATTTTCTTGCACCTTGCAGCGAAATGTCTGGTACTAGCCAGCTCTGGAGACAGCACACGAGACCAAACGGGCCGAGGGAAGGCTCGGCCATCCTGTGGGTACGTCCCCTAAGCCAGGAGGACAGGAGTCGCTCGGTCTTTGTCACTACAGCTTCCCAGCTGCCCGTGGGAGGGGAGCGGTGGTGGGGGTGAAGCCTGCTCCACAGTGCGGACCTCGGCACTCCGGCGGCGCAGCATACCGACAGCCCGGGAGAGCCAAGTCACGCGGGGGCGGGCCGGGGGCTACCGAGCAGAGCGGGTGAGTTCACGATCCCTTCTTTAAAGTTGCCTTATGCGTTGTAAGGGCTGCGGCCGCATTTCAAGGACAGACGTCTCAGCAGGAGTCGGAGCAGCAGCAGCTGCAGCTGCCTGCCTGCCTG